CATGCATGATGAGCACATGGGTGTGTACTCAGATGAGAGTTACCATGAGAGGGCAGTAAGGACAGGAGGCAGAGGAGGTGGCAAAAGCTGGTGATCATGTTTCCCTTGCACTGAGATGGGTGAGGGGAACACAGAGAGCTACAACCCCGGGCAGCAGTGTGGCCTAAGCAGCCTTGCCTTCTGTTGCTGTGAGGTGCTGTCAAGTTGGTTCTGACTCACAGTGACCCTACGTCCAACAGAACCAAGCACTACCAGGCGCTGTGCCCTCCTATGCCTGAGCCCATTGTGGTAGTAGTCACTGTGTCAATACACCTCACTGAGGGTCTTCTTTTTGCTGACCCTCCACTTTACCAAGCACAATGTCCTTCTCCAGGGCTGTTCCTCCTGATAACATGTCCAAAAGACATGAGAAAGCCATGCTATGCTCACTTCTAAGAAGTACTTCTTCCAAGACAGATTGGTTCGGTCTTTGGGCAGTCCATGCTATATCAATACTTTTCGCCAACACTATCATTCAAAGGTGGAATTTGTCCAAGAGGCAGTCATTCGAACAGGGCAAGGGGCTACTTTCAGGTTTAAAACCAGTCAAGGTGTGTGTCAGGGTTCTAGCCTTTCACCACACTTATTCAATCTGCATGCTGAGCAAATCATCCAAGAAGCTGAACTATATGAAAAACATGGCATCTGAATTGGAAAAAGACTCATTAACAGCCTGCGATACGTACATGATACAACCTTGCTTGCTGGCAGTAAAGAGGACTTGAAGCACTTACTGATGATTGAAGAATACAGCCTTCAGTATGGATTACACCTCAAAATAAAACAAAACTCTCACAAGGGAACCAATGAGCAGCAGCATGATAAATGAAGAAAAACTGAATTTGTCAAGGATTTCATTTTACCTTGAATCCTGATTCAACACCCATAGAATCTCAGTCCAGAGAAGAAATGACAAGTAACAGTGGGCAAATCTGCTGCAAGAGAGTTCTTCCAAGTGCTAGCAAGCAGAGGTCACTCTGAGGACTACGGTGCATCTGACCCCAGCCACGGTCTTCTCCTTTGCCTCATAAGCTTGTGGAAGCTGGACTATGAGAAGGAAGACCCCAGGAAAGAACTGAAGCCTTTGAACTATGGTGTTGCTGCCTTTGGAACCCCAAGAGTGGTTCCCAGTGAATTCAAGTGAGGATAGGCACTGGAGTGTGAACCACGATACTAGCGGTTCAAGTCCATCAGCTGCTCCACAGGAGAAAGACGAGGCTTTCTGTTCTGGCAAAAGATTAAGTCTTGGAAACTTATACAGGGTTACTATGAGTCAAAACCAACTTCATGGCACCTAACAACAACATCTAACCCTAACCAACCACTTGCAAAGGGAGTCTAGTACTTATTCAGAAACACTTCCACAATGTTTGTAGCTCACAGTCTACAGACTACATCTCTTCTGGCAACAATGATCTTCATTTATATCAATCCAACTTAGCAGGTAACTCCATATAGAGCTCATTACATGAAGTCATAATGCCTGGAATTTACCTATTGACGGCAAGAAGTCATTCCTATCACATCTGGCTGCAGAAACAGTAAAATCTCATTTCAAACCACAGTTTAACTGAAACCTATAAATCAGGAAAAGGCATTCTGACACTGTCTATGTGTGGAGTGTACATGCAAGCAAATGGCCAAAAGGGCAAAATTCAATGAGCTTAGTGTGAGAAAAACCACAACCAACCTCCCTGGAAAAAACCCTTCTTATAAGAGAGAGCCTGGGGCTGAAAGTCTAGACTGACATCTAGAATTACAATTCTATCTAGTGATAACAATTTTTTTTAAACCCTAAAATTCTGCAAAAGTCTTTGTAATTATAGAGACAATGTCCATAAGAGATTTCAAAACAGATTTCATGAAGTCCACCAGGTCGACTGACTGAGACAAAAAAATGGATTGAGTACATTTTTCATCACTTGTTTTCACCAGCTGGAATGAAACTTTGAGTCTGCTTGAACCACAGTTAACCAACAAAAAAACTGGGATTTCCTGTCCCCCTCAGCATCTAGATAAGAAATATTTCCCTTAAGCATCATTCAAAATGCTCATTATCTTTCTCTCAAAATGATTTCCACATGCAGATCTTGACACATAGCAGGCTTATCATTTTAAAAGACAATTTGCTTATCCATTCTGCTTAGGAAAGTTCTAGATTGGGAAGTAGGTGGAAGTAACAAATTATTCAAAATACCTAGAAATACAAGGGTTCTGGAGTCCTGGTATGGTGCTGTATGTTAAGGCACCGGACTGTAAGGTTGCTTTGAACTACAAGTTTGGTGGTTCAAGCTTACCAGTCGCTCCTCTGAAACCCTACACAGGGTCACTATGAGTGGGAACCGACTCAACGACACTTAACAACAACAACAAGTGTTCTACAGACTGCTTTTCTCCTTCCCCATACCATTTTCCCACATAAGAGAAGCAGTATCATCAAAGCAGAAAAGTGGGTCCCCCTTTAGCAAATAGCCTTCAAGCTGAAGATTAAGCCAGGAAGACAAAGGACTATACACTGTGCTTCCCCAGTCTAGAATTCTGCTAGGTAACTATTTAGTGAGATCTTCATTTTTGGCACATTAGCATTTAATAGTTTTTATACAGACCTACACAATATCCTAGTGAAGGCGGCATATTTCTCTGGGTTAAAATCTTTGGCGGTCAGAACAATAGAAAAATGAGTCACCTGTCCAAAAGAAACACAAAAAAAAGTACACTTTTTAAGACACTTTAATAGAATGAATTGTTTATTACTATATGCTAATAAGCCTCTTGTACAAGACATGCCAACATTAAAAGGAAAAGAAATCAAAATTTAACAAAGTCCTCATTTGCTTCCTTATATGTTTGTGTATACATGTATACGGGAGTCCTGGTGTGGCGCTGTGGGCTAATGTGTCAGCCTGCAAAGTCGTTTGAACTGCAAGGTCAGTGGTTCAAGCTCTCCAGCTACTCTTTGGAAATCCTATACAGGCTATACAGGGTCACTATGGGTCAGAACCGACTCAACGGCACTTAACAACAACAACATACAAGTATATATTGTATACATGTGGGTATCTACACACACACATACACATAATTTCCTATATAAGAATGCAATATTTAAAGAGGCAGGGAAAAATGTTTAGTTTTCAAAAATATCCCGTGTGGTATTACAATTGCTGTAATGTCACAGAGGTATGATTTGTTGACTGTGGACTAATGAGTTGTTCTGTAAACCTTCACTTAATTCACAATAAAAAGTAAAAAAAAAAACAAAAAACAGAAAAAGCCTCACAAACATCCTGCAGGCCAGTATCACTGGTGTGAGCTTTTATTTAATGTTCTTTAACCTCTGTGGTGCTGTAGGGTAAGCACTGGATTGCAAACCACAAGATGGTGGTTCAAACCCACCAGCCGCTTGTCAGAAACCCTACACAGTGTCACCGTGAGTCAGAACTAACTCCACAGCACTTAACAACTATCTCTCACCTGGAGTACTGGTAAGCAATGGATTGCTGTCTTCAAGGTTGGCAGTTCAAACCCACCAGCCACTCCTCAGAAACCCTAGACATGGTTTCTATGAGTCAGAACTGACTTGATGGTATAAACAACTCTCTCACCAAAGCAGCAAAGAACCAGGTTTGCTAAATCAGATCTGCTGACGTGGTCAATGGAATCCTGGTGTGGTGCTGTAGGGTCAGCACTGGACTGCATGCAAGGTCGGTTTGAACCGCAAGGTCAGCAGTTCAAACTCACCATCCGCTCCTTGGAAACCTTACACAGGGTCACTATGAGTCAGAACTGACTCAATGGCACTTAACAACAACAATGTAGTAAATATTTTTTCATTAATGAAACAGGAGAAAACATCAAAAACACAACTCAATAAAATCATACAGTTCCCTATATAGTCCACTCTCGGTGGAGTGCTACACTCTAAAAGACACTGTTATAAAAACTTCATTTAATTATTGTTGTTAAGTGCCACTGAGCCGATTAGCAGTCCAGCATGTATCCTACAGTGCCACACCAGAGCGCATCTGACCTAAAGTTGCTGAAGTTGTTGTTAAGTACCGTCGCGTCAGTTCCGATTCATAATGACCCTATATAGGGTTTCTGAGGCTGAAGATCTTTGTGGGAGCAAAAAGCTGTCACCTGAGAAGTGGCTGATGGGCTCGAACCACCGACCTTGTGGTTTGCAGTCCAATGCTTATCCCACAGAGCTACCATGCTTCCCCCAGGCCTAGAGCAGACACCAATAAATGCCTATGGAATGACAGTGAACTGTGAAAGGGGACATTCCCAGTGGAAGTAATACGGTCTTTTCAACAGCATGGCATGAACCATAAGGCCTAACACTAAGAGTTACTGCAACAAGCTGCGTCACTTCCAATCTCTCGGGGGTATTTTTTTTCACCTTTATACAGTCATACCTTTTTCAACACTGAAGAATCTGGAACTTCAACTGTTGTGATATAAAACCATGTCCTTCGGTACTGGCCAAAGACGAAGGGATGGAGAAGGTGGTTTTCATGTGTGAGGCAGCATTTTCTCAGGAACAGGTTTCTCAATGTGGCTGTCGTGGACGGATAGCACCAGACCCACAGAACTTCTGCATTAGTGTCCTTTTCTACAGTGGAAAGACGGTCACAGTGAGAACGTCAAACAGCAGCAAAGGAGCGAACTGACTGGGTACTGCGAAGTATTTACTGGAATCACTTTTAACCCCCATTCTACACTGTTGTTCCTAGGTACTGTAAAGTCGATTCTGACTCATAGCGACCGTATGCACAACAGCATAAACACTGCTCAGTCCTGTGCCACCTCACAATCATTGGGACGCTTGAGCCCATTACTGCTGCCAGTCCATCTCATTGGGGGTCTTCCTCTTTTTCGCTGACCCTCCACTTTACCAAGCATGATGCCTTTCTCTAGGGACTGGTCGCTCCTGACATGTCCAAAGTCCATCAGATGAAGTTTGCAAGTTCTGGAATCTAAAGAGCGTTGTGGTTGTATTTCTTCCAACACAGAGAGCACCCCAAATTTGTGAAACCCTAAGTTGCCACCTACTTCCACTGATCAAATGATCTAGCTTCTCCTGATCTGAAACTGGAGGACACTTGAGTGGAAAAGGAGTCCTGGTGGTGTTGTGGGTGAAGCGCTGGGCTGCTAAGCTGCAAGATGGGTGGTTCAAACGCACCAGCTGCTCCAAGGCGGATAGAGGCTGTCTGCTCCCGGAAAGACTAACAGTCTCAGAAAACCCTGTGGGGCAGTTCTGCTCTGTCCTACAGTCATCGAGTCGGAATTGCCTCCACGCGGGCAGTGGGTTTTCTTGTTCTGAGTAGATTATGAATGAAAACAGTTTGGTAGAGGGCCTCCCCCAAGTTCTCACAGACCTCTACAAACTTTCCGTTTTTATCTAATTAGAAGGATTTTCAACAAATATCTGGGAAGGGCCTATTACAGAAGTGGAGGTGGAGGAAATGGTGACATCTTAAATCATGTTTTTCTCTCACTGACTTCATCAATTCTGCTGTTTTAAGATTTTTAATAAAGCTTTTCCAGTCAGATCTTTTCGTTTTATCATGGAAACCAATGCCTTAATAACAAAACAGAAGCCAATGTGTCCAAAAAACCCTCCAGGTTAACAGACAGTAAGCTTTAGTCAGTAACAGAACACAGAGCAGTAAGAACCCAGTTGTTGATATACAGACTTCAACTTTATTTTTTATTATGGACTATACCAAGTATACACAGAGAGAAGAAGAATGAAATGGAGCCCTGTCTCCATCACCCAGCTCCCAATTAGCTGCACTTGTCTCCCCATCCCCGCCCTCCCCAACCTTCTGATACAAACCCTCTCACAGCAGTGGTAGGCAGACTTTCAAATTTAGGTCAATATGAAAAAGGGAAAAACCTGTCGAATGATAAATAGGACTACAAGCCATTTTCAGATAAAGTCAGAGTTTGTCGCAGTCTTACTTTAGAAGTACCTTCTGCCAGGACTTATTAGGTGCCAGAGGGTGGGTTCTGACTCACAGCGACCCCATGTGCAACGGACAGAAATCCTGAGCTATCCTGCGCATCACTGCTGTCAATCTATCTCGTTAGGGTCTTCCTCTGTTTCTCTGACCCTCTACTGTACCAAGCATGATGTCCATCTCCAGAGACTGGACCCTCCTGGTAACATGTCCAAAGCGCAAGAGACGAAATTGCACTAACATTACTTCCAAGGGGCATTCTGGCTGTGCATCTCCCATCGCGATTTGTTCCTTCTTTGGCAGTCTATGATCGATCAATATTCTTCCCCAACACAATTCAAATGCATCAATTCTTTTGTCTTCCTTATTGTCTAGTGCAGTGGCTCCATTCGATAAGCACTGGACTGCAAGTCACAAGGTCTACACTTGGAGCCCACTACTTCACAGGAGAAGGATGAAGCTTTCTGCTCACATGAATATTTAAAGTCTGAGTCAGAACCCACTTAACAAGAACAGCTTCCTCATACATATGAGGCAATTGAACCATGGCTTAGATCCGGCCCATCCTAGTCTTCAAGATGAAGTCTTTGCTTTTTAACACTTTCTGGTGTGTTGCTGTAGTATAAGCACTGGAATGCTAACTGCAAGGTTAGAGATTCAAACCCACCAGCTGCTCCTCAGAAACACTATACAAAGTCACTATAAGTCGGAAACAACTCAGTGGCACCTAACAACAACAAAAATCTTTTGCAGCAGGTTTGCCCACTGTAATACATTGTTTGATTTCCTGGCTGCTATTTCTATATGGACATTGATCATGGATCCAAATAAAATAAAATCTTAGACAACTTCAGTCTTCTCTGCTTTTATCACGATGTTACTTATTGATCCAGTTTTGAGGATTTTTGACTCCTGTATATTGAGTTGTAAGGAGCTCTGGTAGTGTAGTGGTTACGAATCAGGCTGCGAACCTCAAGATCAGCAGTTCAAAACTACCAGCTGTTCCACGGAAGAAAAATGAGGCTTTCTGCTCCGGTAAAGATTTACAGCCTCAGAAACCCTGTACAGGGTCGCTATGAGTCGGAACCGACTCTAGGGCACATAATCACCACCACCACCATATGTTGAGGTGTAATCCATACTGTAAACTGCAGTCTTTGATTTTTCATTAGCAAGTGTTTCAAATCCTCTTCACTTTCAGCAAGCAAAGTTGTGCCATCTACATATTGCAGGCTGCTAAAGGGTCTAATGAGGGTTAAGATGCTTAAATACTTAGGTTTTTCTCTGAAGCTGTTTAAAAATTACACTAACAATGAATACAAGAAACCATTCTTAGATAAACACTCTCCTTTATAAGACGTTGAAAAAGAAATCAGCATAATTCTCCAGTTTTGCTATCTAGGCAATGTGCTTGTATATTGGGGGATTAGACAACATGTTTGGTGGTGGTGGTGGTAAGTACCGTGGAGTCGGTTCCGACTCATAGTGACCCTGCACAGGGTTTACGAGACTGTAAATCTTTATGGGAGCAGAACACCTCATCTTTCTCCCAAGGAACCGCTGGTAGTTTCGAACTGCTGAACTTGAAGTTGGCAGCCCGACTCGTAACCACTACGCTACCAGAGCCCCTTCGAGAGCATGATCTAGGAGGGGGCCGACGTACGTTCACTCAAGCAACCTGGTGCTAGCTAACAACTGTCGAGGAATGGTTCCTTGAAACATCCACCCCCTGAGGCCCTGCACACATTCTGGGCTCCCCAACGATCCCAATGTACTTCCCCATTCATGAAGCCTTACAGTGTAACCCTGCATGGTTTCGTAGATTCCAGCTCAGTGCTCGAGTTCAATCACATGACACCGGAGTTCTCTCATAGGAGAGTTCGAACTCTAGGGCTGGACTGAGGGTCCCAATCCTGGCTCTCTGCCATTTCCCAGCGGTGCCCATGCACAAAAAGCGCTCAGGGCCTCTGCTCGTTCCTCCGGAAGTGGGCATGACGCATTACCTACAACTCGCTGGAAATGTGGTGCGGGTTAAACGGGTAATCCATGCACAACGCGCAGTTATCCTCCATGCAGAGAACCGCTCGATCACATGATCTGAGCCAAGCCCGGGGCTTGAGTGCTGTATCTCCCTTTGCGGCCGGCAGCCTGGGACCCGCCTGTGCAGCAGCCCTTCGCAGCCGCCCGGACACCCTGGTACCGGGGTTTGCCGAGCAATCTGGCGTCAGTAAAGCCCTCCATCGCTAGGCCCCGGGATCCCTTCCCCCGGCCGCCCTATGCTAGGCCGCTAGCAGTCAGCCCAAGGAGGCTGGCCGGGCCTCGCACCGTGGAGGTCCCACAGCCCCCGGCCCGGGCCCAATATCGAGGGGCCACCCCGGCCCGAGGCGGAGGCGGAGCGAGGCAGTGCCCTGCGGGGCAGGGCGCCTGCGTCCTCACCTATCAGCCCGACTCCGAGCATCAGCTGAGTGTCCGCCGCTTCGGCAGCAGCCATCTTCCGCCGCCTAGCGCTCGGCTCAGCTCCCGGCTTCCCGTCGCAGGCCCCGCCCCCGCATCGCTTTGCCCCTCACCCACCTCGCAGGCCCCTCCCCTCACCGGCTTCTCCCCACAGGCCGCGCCCCTCCCGTTATCCCCGCCTCCAACATACGCCTCGCCCTCAGACCCCGCCTCCTGATTCACCCCCTGACCGCCAGGACTTCCTCTCTGAGTCCTTCAGCCTCTTAAACCTCTCAGACTCCACAACCTCCCTCTGTTTCTTGAGTCTAGATCTCCTCAACCTACTCCAACCTTCCTCCACATCCTCCAGGCTTTCTAATTCTACCTTTGACTTCCGGTCCTGATCAGAGCAGGTTATTTGGTTCCTGAAAATTGAGGCTTCTGAGGCTGGAGGAAGGGTCTTCATTCATGCATTCCTCCAACCATCCAGCAGCGCCTGCCCCCAAATATCTTAAGACCTAATAAAACTCTCCATCACTTGTCTATCAGTTTGTCACACTGTGGTGGCTTGCGTGTAACTGTGATATTGGAAACTTTGCCACCGGTATTTTGAATACCAGCAGGGCCGACAACAGTGAATGAACGGGTTTCAACTGAGTTTACAAACTAAGAGAGACCAGGAAAGAGGAGAGGCAGAATACTTCTGAATGTTTAGCCACTGAACACTCTCTGAATAGCAGTAGAACATTGTCAGGATAGCAGCAAAATATTGAATACTGAAACATTAGAATTTATTATTCAGTGCCATCGAGTTGATTGCTACTCATAGAGACCCTATGTACAACAGAACAAAATACCTGCTGGTCATGCGCCATCCTCACAACTGTGGGTACTCTTGAGCCCATTGCTGCTGCCACTGTGCCAATCCATCTGTTTGGGGGTCTTCCTCTTTTTCTCCAACCCTCCACTTTACCAAACATGATATCCTTCTCCAGAGACTGGTTCGTCCTGATAATATGTCCGAAGTATGATAGACAAAGTCTGGCCATCTTGGCTTCTAAGGAGCATTCTGATTATACTTCCAACACAGATTTTTTTTTTGTTCTTCTGGTACCTTTAATATTCTTTTGTTCTTCTGGTACCTTTAATATTCTTTTGTTCTTCTGGTACCTTTAATATTCTTCTTCAACATCACAACTCAAATGTATCAATTCTTCCATGATCTTCCTTGTTCATTGTCCAACTTTCACATGCATATGAGGTTATTGAAAATACCATGACTTGGATCAGGGGCATTTTAGTCCTCAAACTGACATCTGTGCTCTTGAGAACTTTAAAGAGGTCTTGTACAGCAGATTTGCCCAATGCAATATGTCCTTTGGTTTCTTGACTGCTACTTCCATGAGTGTTGATGGTGGACCCATGCAAAATGAATTCTTTGGCAACTTCAATATTTTCTCCATTTATCAATAAGTTACTTATTGGTCCAGTGGTGAGGATTTTTGTTTTCTTTATATTGAGGTGCAACCCATACCGAAGGCTGTGGTCTTCAATTTTCATCAATAAGTAATTTAAGTCCTCTTCACTTTCAACAAACAAGGTTGCATTGTCTGCATATCGCAGGTTGTTTATGAGTCTTCCTCCAATCCTGACTTCACGTTTTTCTTCATATAACCCAGCTTCTCGGATTATTTGCTCAGCCTACAGGTTGAATATGGTGAAAGAACACAACCCTGGTGCACACCTTTCCTAATTTTAAATCATTTGGTGTTCTCGTGTTCTGTTCGAACAAATGCCTCTTGGTTTATGTACAGGTTCCGGAATACTCATACTTCCCAATGTTGTCCATAGCTTGTCATGGTCCACACAATCGAAAGCCTTTGCATATTCAATAAAGCACAGGTGAACATCTTTCTGGTATTCTCTGCTTTCAGCCAAGATCCATCCGACAGCAGCAATGATATCTCTCATTCCATGTCCTTGTTCCAATCCAGCTTGAATCTCTTGTAGTTCCCTGTCAATATAGTGTTGCAACTATTTTTGAATTAACTTCAGCAAGATTTTGCTTGCATGCAGTATTAATGATATTGTCTGATGCTTTCCACTGGATCACCTCTCTTTGGAATGGGCATAAATATGGATCTCTTTCAATCAGTTGGTTAAGCAGCTGTCATACACATTTCTTGGCATATATGAGTGAGTGCCTCCAGTGCTACCTCAGTTTGTTAATTTCAATTTTTATTCCATTAATTCCCAGAGCTTCTTTCTTTGTCAATGCCTTTACTGCACCTTGGACTTCTTCCTTCTGTACCATTGACTCATGATCATAAGCTACCTCTTGAACATTGACCATATTTTGAAATTGCTGAACATTGACCATATTTTTTTAGTACATTGACTCTGTGTGTTCTCTCCATCTTCTTTTGATGCTTTCTCCATCATTCAATGTTTTGCCCAAAGAAAACTTCAGTAATGCAAGTCGAGGCGTGAATCTTTTCTTCAGTTTTTTCTGCTTGAGAAGTGCTGAGCGTGTTCTTCCCTTTTGGTTTTCTAACTCTAAGTCTTCTCGAACTGCTCTTGGAAATTTTCTGTTCAGTTCTTGTACCTCCTCATTTCTTCCATTTGCTTCAGCATCTCTACACTGGAGAGCAATTTTCAGAGTCTTTTCTGACATCTATTTTAGCCTTTTCTTTTTTCCTTGTCTCTTTAATTATCTTTTGCTTTCTTCCTGTTTGAAGTTCTTGGTGTCTTACCACAAATCTTCTAGTTTTTGGTCATTAGTGTCTAACGCATCAAATCCGCTGTTGAGATGATATCTAAATTCAGGTGGAATATATTCAAGTTCATATTTTTGTTCTCACAGACTTGTTTTAATTTTCTTCAGCTTCAGCCTGAATTTGCATATGAACAATTGATGGTCTGTTCCACAGTCTGCCCCTGGCCTTGTTTTCACTGATGATATAAAGCTTTTCCTCGTGTTTTTCCACAGATGTAGTCAATTTGATTTCTGTGTGTCCCATCTGGTTAAGTCCATGTGGATAACCGTCTTTTACATTGTTTAAAAAAGGTATTTGCAATGAGGAAGTCATTAGTATTACAAAATTCTATTATGCGATCTTTGGCATCATTTCCATCACAAACGCCATATTTTCCACCTACTGATCCCTCCTCTTTGTTTCCAACACCAGTAATTATCAATACATCTTGATTGCATGTTTGATTAATTTCAGAATGAAGAAATTAATAGAATTCTTCAATTTCATCATCACTGGCTTTAGTTGTTGGTGCATAAATTTGAATAATAGTGGTATTAACTGGTATTCTTTGTAGGCATGTGAATATTATCCTATCACAGACAGCATTGTACTTCAAGATAGATCTTGAAATCCTCTTTTTGATAATGAATACAACGTCATTCCTCTTGAATTTGTCATTCTCGGCCTAGTAAACCATGTGATTGTCAGGTTCAAATGGCCAATCCCAGTCCATCTCGGTTCACTAATGTCTAGGATGTTGATCTTTATGCGTTCCATTTCTTTGTTGACAACTTCAAATCAGTTTTCCATTTATCCTCCTGCCCTCCTCCCCCCAATTCCTTTGTATTTATTTATTTATTTTTATTTAAATGTTTTTATTTTGCATTGAGTGAGAGTTTACAGGGCACATCATCAGCTTCACATTCAACCATTCATATACCCTGTTTCATTACATTGGTTATTATCCCCTCCATATATCATCAGTTTACAGTGTTTCTCTCTATCCTCTTTACCTTTGTATTTATTTTGGCAGAAGAAAAGCTTTATTGAGTTTCCAGTCCTAGTTCTCTTTCTGCTGCATTCTTGGTTCTCTGGAGCCGCCCAGTGCAACGGACGGTAATGAGATCCGCTTGGCGGCCAGCAGGGGCATCCCTGCAGAGGGCTTCCTGATGTGCTGGTGGTTGCCACCTCCAAAGGGATTCTCCTCGGGGTTCATGGCCACACCCCACACATGAAGCCAGTGGTTTCTCTGGGCCTTGTATTTGTGGTAGGAACTACTCGCCTTCAGGATGGGCTTGTTAATGCGGCCACCACCAGCCACCACACCAACCACAGCTCTGTTGGATGAGGAAATGACCTTCTTGGAACCCGAGGGCAGCTTCACGAGGGTCTTCTTGGTTTTGGGTTGTGGGAAATGAATGTTGACCCATCTCTAGAACTTCTGCTTCATACAGCACACTATGCTGCCCTCAGGCATGGTCCCTGTGGTCACACAGCTGGTAAGTGGCAGAATCAGGGTTTGAATGTAGCCTTTGCTACCAAGGCCTGTGCTCCTAAATCCCATGCTCTGCTGTTCTCATCCCCATCACTTTCTTATTCTCTGCACACTTGTCACTAAATATATCCTGGTGGGAATGTTCCTCTCTGCCTGAGAGTTCACCCTGAGGGAAGCTGGAGCATATTGAAGTACATGGTTCTTCTGCCAGGTCCTGCCCTCAATCCTGTGACCCTTGGTTGCCACAGACTGGATCCTGTTGTCTTTATCCAGCCTAGTGAATAGCCATGACTTTGGGCTGGTTAGAAATGCAGCCACTCATTTCTAAGGAGGAATGTGGGCGGGCCAACCATCTCCCTTCCTGAGCCGCCGCCTTTGGACTCTATTTGGTACTCAGCATGTGAACAAAAGTGACTGTCAAATAGGACAACATCAACAAGGAAAAGAGAGCCAAGTGCTAGCATGTCTGTTGCCTCTTCATGTCTGTGCACATTGTATGTTCATGATAGCTTGTCCTACAACTCGACCAGGTTGGAGTTAGGGTAACGGTGGCAATCTTGACATTCTTGGTCAGAGATTAAAAAGAGATGTAAGACTTCCAACTAATGTTTTATTTATTTGATATTGATTAGTCTTGGATACATGTGCTGATTCAGAAACTTAAATAAAGATAATTTTTTAATGTTAAAAAAAAAAAGTTATTTATTGGGCCACTTGTGAAGATTTTTGTTTTCTTTACCTTAAGGTGCAGTCCCTACTGAATCCATGTCTTTGTCCTCCATCAGTGAGTATTTTAAGTCTTCTTAGCTTCCAGGAAACAAGGTTGTGTCATCTGC